TGGGGGATGCCCCCCAGCAGGCCAGGGAGACGCGGAGCAGCTTTTCTCGCCGCGGAGGATGCGGGCGGTGGGACCATGGTACGTCTGGGCGGTCCCGCCGCCCACGTCCTCCGCGGCGAGAAAAGCCCCGTTCGTAAGTAGGAATCCGACGTAAATCGGATCCACATAACCCGGGGACTGCCTGTATCATTTATCTTCAATTTTAGTCAGCAGGGTGTTAGATCTCCAATCTGATTAGTTTTCTACAAAACAAATAAATGCCCTGGTGCTTAGTAGTTGGTCCTGAATAGGGATGTATTTAACGTTTAACATATTAACTGGTTAAACACTAAGTCTAATTGGTCAAACCTGGAGCAGCCCCCTGCCCATGATGGGTTGCGGCTGAGACGGAGCCAGAAAATGGAGGCAGCTCTGGTTCCACTGCATGCTCCAGTCCTGGCTGCAGGTTGGGAGAGAGAGGTGACCTCTGGCCGAGTCTACTGTGGCCACAAGCAGGATCCAGCTGGCCAGGCCAGTTAACCAGTTACCTTGAAAGCACGCTGTCTTACTTCAGAGACTGGGCCAGCCAAACTCTGCTCTCAGGTTCGGAGGGTAACCAAGAAGACACAAATAGCTTAATGCATATAAATGCAAGATTTATTAGATATTACAGGTGATATAAAAAGAAAAGGCAAGAGAAGGCTGACAACATCCCTTTGGCTTGCTGGGGACTCTGACTCAGCAAAGGATGGACTCCTGGGCCAGGTCAGAAGACACCTGTACAGTTCCAGGTCCTTCGGGAAGTCCAAAGGGTGTTGGCAACATTAAACAATATATAGCCTGTACACAAAATTCTAGAATCAGCCACTAACTACATACAGAGGAAAAAAAACCCCAAAACAAACACCTGCCTGCTTGAGAAGATTCCCGAAGGCAGGCTTGTTTACCTGGAAGCTTATCTCAACTATGCAATGAGCTCAGCCATGCCAGACAGGGCCTATCTCTAACGAGCTAGCTAGCTGGGAATTTCCCTTGCTAACAGCAGTCCAAAGCCTGTTTTCTAGTTTGCAGACATGAGAACTGGGAAGATACACTAACTCCTCGAAATACAATGATCTTCCGGTTTTCCAACCACAACACACACTGACAAGCCACCTGCTTACTGGGTAACTAGTTAACCTCTTATATCCCTAGTCCTGAGTAACTAAACATCATATAGTTATTTATAGAGTGTATCTCGTATTAAGCTATGCTCTGCCGTGTTGAACTTGCTATGTCTAGGTATCTAAAATGAGGTGCTTGAATGGAAAGACGTTTGTGTGGGTATCTCCTCTACTGAGTTGAATAGCTACTCCAGGGCAATTTATATGTGATAAGTCCACCATCTAGTGGTAGCAGGCTGTGAAAAATACAGGCCACACCTTGAGAAAGGAAAAGACTGCGGGTGGAGCCCTTCCTGCACATCTTTCTTGGGTTCTAATTAGCTATGCTGCTTCCTCTCTGCAGATCACATCTCGCTTGGCTGACGTTTTTAACCAGCGCTGCGAAGTGAACCGTCGGGCTTCAGTCAGTGGCTGTGTCATCAACACGTGCGGCTGGGTGAAGGGCTCTGGGTATCAGGCCCTGGTGCATGCAGCCTCAGCCTTTGAGGTGGATGTGGTGGTAGTGCTGGACCAGGAACGCCTGTACAATGAGCTGAAGCGGGACCTGCCCCATTTTGTGCGCACGGTGTTGCTCCCCAAGTCAGGTGGGGTGGTGGAGCGTTCAAAGGACTTCCGGCGGGAATGCCGGGATGATCGCATTGCTTCTACCCCCATGCCTTCGATGTCAAATTCTCTGATGTCAAGATCTACAAGGTGGGGGCGCCCACCATCCCTGACTCATGCCTGCCTCTGGGCATGTCACAGGAGGACAATCAACTCAAGCTTGTGCCAGTGACACCAGGCCGTGACATGGTGCACCACTTGTTGAGTGTCAGCACTGCTGATGGCAGTGAGGAGAACATCTCTGAGACCAGTGTGGCTGGGTTCATTGTTGTCACTGGGGTGGACGTAGATCGCCAGGTCTTCACGGTGCTG